GCGAGAAGGATGGTATTTTCTAAACTTTCCCCAACGGCAGAACGTGCCCTGAGTCGCTTTCTGGAAAAAAAGAAGATGGACAACTATCCCTCACCTATTCCAGCCAGTCCGGCTCCAGCGTTGAAGTATGGATTCCCCTTCAGAGTATCAGCTAGCTTTTGGGAGAACGTCGGTGTTTGTTGACCCGACGAGTCTGGCGGCAACGACAACTCTCCCACATCGACTGATCCCATACCTAAAAAATATGCTATAGAACGCGGAACTCTGGAAAACGAACACTGCAGCACTCACCTGGTTCTAGTCCACGAACGGCTTAATGAATCCAACGAATTCTCCGCCCTGAATAAAAGCCCAGTTAAGCGTAGGAGGTTAATCAAATACGTGGTCTGCTTACAAAAACAATTTCAGAAGAAGTTGCTACGAAATCCCTGTGCGGAAAAGGCGTAAAATACTTGAAAAGGACGTGAAATGGGCTGAAGTCCTTCACCCAAGTGAAAAGGAGCCTCTAGTCTTCGAGTGACAGTTTCTGCGCTCCAATGCTAACGGGAAGATTTCACATGACGGCTTTTTGCGGAACTTTTTTTCATTTCAAAGTTGCTGGCTGACCATTTTCTTTGTATGTTGAAACTGTCTTTAAGTATGTCTTTGGTCGAATTCACCCTCAATAAGTATAGTTAATAGATTCATGTACTATGTGTTGGTTGGTTCCTTGCCATCGATGCTGAGTGACGAAAGCAAAGTCGACGCCTCATGATACTCATCAAGAAGCCTCTCTTCTTCTTTTTCTTTCCTTCCTTCTTCCTTATTTTACTCCCTTCCCTCTTCTACCTTCTCCCTTCAAATGCTCGACCAATCGATGCAATGAGAAAACACCTCTGAACTCCCAACGTAAGAATGTTGTTGACAGAAGTCCTGTAACCCTAATGGTGGGGACTTTCCACACTTCATTCTTTTCCAATTGCTGGGAGTCCATCACCACTGGCTCCCTCTTCTCTAGTCCATTCTCTTCTGTCCTAGAATATGTCTGTTGAAAATCATCCAAAGATGTGAGGCTTATAACTAACTTCGGAAGCTCGAAGTGGTCTCTGTTTGAAATTAAGCTCAAATTGTTCATTGCCTCTTCGCATTTCAAACAGAGAAAGATTCATAGGGCCATTGACATTGATAGAAGGGACTCTGTCTTAGGGATAGAGGGAAATGTGAACATAGAACTAAAAATCCAGGATAAAGTTTTGCTAACAACAAACCTGTGGAGTTGTCAAGCGAGTGGGATTTGCTTAACTACCTTGCTTTGTAAATAGTATTGTTGTTGCAGTCGTCGCGTTTTAAGCAAATTAGAGCGTACAAATAGCCAGATAAATCCGCCGAGAAAATGCTGAAAGTGTTTTTTTGGACGAACTCGCGTGTTCCTCGAAGTTTTCGAAGGATTATGCCACACTCGCTGTTTTGAGAAATGTACAGTCCATATTGCGGCGATGTGGAAGGTGTTACTACGTCTTCATTGAAAGGGCTTAGGACGCATTTCATTTGGGACAGTTCCGTCTGTGATAACTGCCATCCCGTCTGGCGCTGGGCAAAGACTTGACTACAGTTGTTCCAAATATCCCAGTAAACAGTAGGCCGCCGCCTTCTAGATGAGGTAAGTAGCCACGCCCACCTCATCTACGTGAT